GAGATTTCTGAGGCATGGCTCACTGCGATGACCGGAGATCAACAGTCGCCTCACACCATCATGATTTGTATGAATCTCAACAGTTATGCTAGCTTGGTTATATTTTGAAGTTTCATTATTTTTTTTTGTTCTGTTATGTTTTTTAAAACGAAAATATATAAACTATACAAGTGTTGCCTGTGTTTCAGTTTTATTACCGTATAATGGCTCACAATCTGACTCAGCGCGAAAACATTCAAGCTGTCCTTTTCGTTTTCTTTTTGAGGATTTTTGTCTCCTATCAAGTACCGATAACGTTAATTACGGCGCTTGGCTTGTTTACAAACCCTTGTTTGGTTCTTCTGTAGCTACTTGCCGGGTCACTTTTTCCGAAACTTCGCTTTCAATTAACGAAAAATAAATAAAAATAAATAAACAGGTCTTTATTTTTTTTAAGTATAGAGAAGTCTGGAAAAGGGTCGAAGTACAAATTGGCCGATGGCGGACGGCTTTAGCTCAGCTCCGTGTTTAGGAATGTAATAGAACACGCTCTTTCAGCCATTGACAGAGCGCGTTATATCCAAGCTTTATTATAATATAATTAATGTTAATGAAATTACCTGTGATCTTAATACACTGTCCTGTATCTCATGAAAACATACAAATAATTTCGGAAAGGAGAAAAACTAGTCAAACATGCAAACACAAGACAACAAAGAGAAACAAATACAAAAATGCACAACGCAAAAGACCCAGAACCGACGACGTATTCTCTGAATAAGATGCTGTATGGCAAACCTTTGTTTTAAGATAGGTATCCATTGTCTTGTAGAGGTTCACAAAATGTGGCCGGGCAGCAGTTTGATATTTCCAGCAGCTTAACATCACCGCGTATCTATAGGAAAACAATGAAATTATCTTTCTGTAAGAGTTGCGTAACCACAACTAGCTACAATTATACCTGAAATGCTAAGTTTACCAAAAGAAAAATCGCTTGATTTACCTTGTTACATTGCAGTTCAAATGGAGCTTGGATCAAAAAACCCAACTTATTCTAAATTTGTCTCATCAACCTTGAACTGACCAAAGTGGGCGATGTGAATCTCGTTTTTAAAATGTCTTTTTGTTGTTTGTTTTGTTTTTTG